AATCTTTCCGATGAATCTCCAAATCATGATCTTCCTATTGCTCTCCGAAAGCAAACTTGGTTATGTACTTTTCGCCCTATTTCGAAATTCATATCTTATAATACACTATCTACATGGTTCACTACTAACTTTGAAAAAAAAAAAATCCCAGCCTTGGAATCACCCAAATGGAGAAAGACAGTAATGGAAGATATGAAAGCCTTAAAGAAAAATGAAACTTGAAAAGTGGTAAACCTATCAAAAGGAAAGAAATCGGTAGGATGCAAATGGGTCTTTAATGTAAAGTACAAAACAGATGGGACAATAAAGTGCTATATAGCTTGTCTTATTGCCAAAGGGTATACTCAAACCTATGGCATCGACTATGCTGAAACATTCACACCAGTGGCAAAACTCAATACCATCCGAATTCTCCTGACATTAGTAGTGAGTTTAGACTAGTCGCTTCAACAACTAGATATTAAAAATGTATTGTTAATGGAAAACTAGAAGAAGAGATCTTCATGACAATACCTTTAGGCTTTAACAACAAAATAAGGGGAATCAAGTGTGTAAACTCAAGAAATCATTTTTTGGCTCAAACAGTCACCTAGAGCATTGGTTCCGTAGATTTGCAGAGGAATTAAAAATTCAAGAATACTACCAAAAGAAATTAGATCATACCATATTCTTTCAACAATCTAGGGATGGAATGAAGACCGTCTTAATTGTGGGCATGGATGATATAATCCTAACATGGGACAAAATAACTGAGATGGAAAGTCTAAAGAGATGCTTAGCGGCTAAATTTAAGGTAAAAGACCTAGGACAATGCGGTACTTCTTGGGGATGGAGGCTACAAGATCAAAGAAGGATGTTATTGTATCCCAACAAAAGTACAATCTCGATCTGTTGATCGAAACTGGAGTGCTAAGTTACAAACCAAACGAGACATCAACTAATGCTGGTAAATTATCAAAGGACACAGGAGACTTAGTGGAAACATATAAATATCAAAGATTAGTTGGAGAGTTAAATTATCTCTCACATACTTGACCTAATATAGCTTTCGCAGTCAGCATAGTAAGTCAACATATGCATTCTCTCAAAGAAGTTAACTTGGAAGCAGTATATAAAATTCTCAAATATTTAAAAGGCACCTCGGGCAAAGGACTATTCTTCTAGAAAAATAAACGAAAAGGAGTAGAAATATTCAATGGTGCAGATTGGGCTGGATCAACAGAAGATAGAAGATCTACTACAGGCTATTGTACGTTTGTATCGGAAAACTTGATAACTTGCAGAAGTAAAAAACAGAATATAGTGAAGCGAAGCATTTCAGAAGCTGAATTTAGAGAAGTTGCACTAGGATTATGGATAAAGAAACTCTAGAAAAACTAAAAATTGGACTAAAATTTCTAATCAAACTCTATTATGACAACAAAGCAAAAATCATCATTTTCCTCAATCCAGTATAATATGATAGAACCAAACATGTAGAAGTAGATAGACATTTTATCAAAGAGAAGGTAGACAATGGAATTAGTTGTATAAAATATGTTCCTACAAAAGATGACGGATATCTTTATCAAAGGATTATCTAGACAAATCTTTGACAACCTCAATTCGCAAGTTGAACTTGGTCAACATTTACAATCCAACTTGAGAGGAAGTATAGAAAACAACCAAGTATGACAAGTGAGTTATGAAAAGAAATTGTAATTAGTTAAAGACTATAGTTTTTCAATAATTGGTAGGTTAATTTTATTTTCTTGCTTAGCATATTGGTTTTCCTTTTTCTTTCCATCTTTTGCAATACAAATAGGTTGTTTAGGGGCTGTTATTCATCATCAATATACTGAAATTTATTCTAATTTTCTTTACAAGTATTTAGTGGATGCTAGTAGGTAAATGGAAGACGTATTTATTTTGATTGTTGAGAGTTCATTGAGTACCATAAATGTAAGTACTCCCTTGTCTTTTGATTTAATTAAATGGATGCTCACTCAATTATACCACTTGTTACCACTTGCTCATTGAAGAATAAATGGTAACTGAATGCTCACTTAACTTTTCATTAATTTACCCATCCATCACTAGATCTAAATCTGTCTGTACAGTTGGCCAATAAATTCCACGTAGATATAAAAAAATGACTTTGGACGATGAATTATGTCCACATCATCTAAAATTATTATTTTTTAAATCCCAAAATCATAAATTATTAACAATTGTTTTCTGGACGGCCAAAATCACAGTTTTAAGAAATCAGAGATGAAATTTATCCCCAAATCATCTTCATCTTCATCTTCAAATCACATCTTC